GTAGTTTTAGGTTGTTATTGCCTACAATAACCAGTCTGAGACATATGAAGATAAAATGAAAGCTAGATGGCTCATGGCAATATCATTCCTCAGGTTCCAATGTCCCTTGCCATCTATCACCTTTCTCCATATTTAAGAGTCATCTTGTGGTTTTTTTTTTTTAATAAATACTGTAATGTCCAGAGGTTTTGGCTGTACTCAGTAGATGAACAGGGAAAAGTTTGACTGCACTATTATATATAAAAAATCTCTTTGCTTTCACTCTTGTCCCTTATAGTCATTTTTCACATATCAGCATAGTAGTCCTGTGAAAAATAAGTCAAATCATGTTACTCCCATGCTCAAAATCCTCCTATTTTAGAAAAACCCAAAATCATTGCAATATATTCTAAGGCTCTATTCTAAGATCTATTTTGCTTTCTATTTTTCTTCTCCTTGATGTTTTTCTTAATCTACTCTAGCCAAACTGACCTCCTTATTATACTGTGAACATAACAGACACAGTTCTACCTCCATGATTTTGCACTTACCATTTCCTCCACCTAGAATATTTTTCTCTAAGCAGCAGAATGAGTTACTTCTCTGCTTTCTGTGGGTCTCTGCTCAAAGCTCAACATCTCCTATGGCTTACTACAAATTTCACATTTCCTTACTATGTTTCAAATGGCCAAACCACTTTCTAAATCCTCCTATTCCTTTCTATGCTTTTTCTCTTTAATCCTCATTGTCATGTAGTTAAATATTTTACTTAGATATTGGTATTTTACTTAGGTTGAATACTGGTTTTGTACTTCTACAATATAAACTCTATGTAGGCTGTCTTTCTAAGGTCCAAGAACAGTACTTGGCACACAACGCATACTCAATATATGTATTTGCTAAATGAAACAATCAATCTATCAATAAATGACAGCTGGATTTAGACTGGGGTTTATTAAAGTACAGTCCATAGGCCTATTGCCTATTTTATAAAGTTTTATTACAGTAATGTTACACCCATTTGTTAAAATATTGTCTGTGGCTGCTTTCCCACTACAAAGAGAGAGTTGACTAGCTTGATAGGGATCACTGGTCTAAAAAAATAAATTATTTTTATTATACGTACTTTACAAAAAAGCTCATTGATATTTGCTTTAGATTCACATAATGAGCTACTTCTTAGCTGCTGCCTTTTGAAGAATTTTCAAAAATCTTAATCTAACTTGCTCCAATGACTGCTTTCCCTTATCTCCTCATTACTTTTCTATTCTATATTTCCAACATATCTGAAGAACCACCTCATTCATTCAGTCAGCCAAGTCAGAGAGATCCAGGATTCAGAAATATGCCTCTCCCACATTTTCCACTTCCAATCACCAAGTTCTGCTGCTTTTGCTTCTCTTTCTTCTCACTGACCTATCTCAGATTATAATTAATTCTTGGCTCAGACTATGGCATAACTTTCTCTTTTTCTGTTTCTGTCCTGTATACTACAGTTGTAAAAATGTCTCCAGAACATAAGTCTGACCATAATACAATTCTATTTTCAAGCACTGCTTTCTCAGTTCCAAACATTCTAAACTCTTCAATCAAGAAATCAAGTGGTCTCTGTCTATCTCCAACCACATTTCTGGCCATTTCTATTTTAGTTCTTGTTTCAACAATACTGGTTTTTTTGTGGGTTTTTTTTTTTAGCCCAGGGCCTTTGTTTACACTGGGAAATCTCACTGAAATTTCTTTTCCTGACTTCTTTTTTTTGTTTCTCCACCTTCAATAACTATGATGGTTAATTTTATGTCTCGACTTGGCTGAATTTTGGAATATCTAAAAAGTATTCTTTTGGTTGTGTCTGAGAGTGTTTCCAGAAGAAAGTAGCAAGACTGCTTGGACTAAATGGGAAAAGTTGCCTTCAGTGTGGGCAGGCACCATCCATTTGGTTGGGAACTCAGTTACAACAAAAATGAAGACATTTTTCACTGAGAGCCAGGATAACAGAACTCTCAGATCTCTGACCTTTGAAAACCAGGACTCACACCAGGGAGCCTACTCCCCCTCCTCCATCCATCTGCATTCTGCCTTAGGCAACTTACACAGTTGGCCTTTTGATTTTGAGACCTTCAGCCTTGGATGAAGCCATGCTGCTGGTATCCAGATTCTCCAGCCTATAGATAGCCTGTCATGGGACTTTTTAGTTACCATAATTGAATGAGACAATTCCCCTAATAAACCCTCTGTCATAGCTACACATAAATCCTAATGGTTTTACTTGTCTAGAGAACCCTAAATAATACACAAATGTAAGTTGTACTTCTCTGCAAATATCCCTTCTTAAAAATCCAAAGGTGTCATGTACATACTTAATAATGTCACAGTACCAAAATGATTGGTGATGCTGCAGTGCACAGTGATTAAGTACTGTGATTATTACCAGGCTAATTTGATTAAAATTTCAGTTCTCATTAAAAATTTATATATACATTCATGGGCTACAATGCAGTAATTCAATACATGTAATATAAAGTGTAATGGTCAAGTCAAGAAAATTAGCATTTTCATCTCCTTAAGCATTTACCATTTCTTTGTGGTAGGAGCATGTAAATTCCTCTCTTTTACTTGTTTATAAAATATGCAATAATGTATTGTGAACCCTATTACAATATTGTGCTGCAGAACACTAGAACTTATTCCACCCTAACTGTACTTTGATCTGTTATTCACCTATACCATTTACTAACAAATAACCTCAGGCATGTGATTATCACACACTATTATCAACCTTACATTTTAGCTAAATATAAATGATTATCAGAAAGATAAAGTAAGTTGTTTGAGGTAACAGATAACATGACAGTGAATGGTGATTGTTCTCTAGTATACATTCTCTTCTTTATTTGAGTCTTAGTTGGGCATGTTCTATACCAAATAAAAACTGTACTTCCCTGTCACAGCATCTGAGATCATGAGATTAAATTCTGACAAATGGGATGTAAATGAAAATTGTATCTGTATCTTCCAGGTCATCGCAAAAAAAAAAAAAAAAAGCTTTAACCCACTTCCTTTCTTTCATCCTTCTCAATCAATAGAATGTAGATTCAATCATGAAGACAAAGACAATTCCCTAGGAAGAGTAGAGCAACAAGAAAGAACCAAGGATCTTGATGCTGTCAAATCATCTTACTAATCTTGTAACATCTTGTTGGACTATCTTACAATCAAGAAATAAACGTCTATTGTGCTAGATCCACGGGGGGTGGGGGGCCTTAGCACTCCAGCTTGTGTCTTCGCTAATGTAGCTAACAGTGGCTTGAATTGTGGACAGTTCCAGCCTCTTTGTCCTAAGAAAAATTTTTAATAAATTATGTTCTCAAGGGTGGCACTGGCTGCTACAAAGCTTAAAACCAAGTATTGCGCTATTTGTGGCAAAGATATCTTGCTCCAATACCTTCTTGTTCTAATGTCATTCCTGCATTTACTATCTGTTTCTCCCATTATTTTACATTTTTCATTGTTTTACCTGATTATAATGTATGTTTGCTTATATCTTATGTATTGTATCAAATCAAGAGACAACTGAAATACATGATAAATGCTTCCATAAAGAAATTTATTACAATAAAAGTCACATTGAAATTAATCCCTTGAAAATACTCCTCTTCACTGTGAACACACATCATTCTTTCCAGTTTCTAAAACAGTAACAGAAATCCTCTTTTGTGAGTATATTTATGAGATATGATAAAAATACAGTGACTGCTACTATCATGTGTCAGTTAATGGAAAGGGAAATTTGTAAAACCATTATGGCATATGTCCTCATCTACTGTATTCACCAGATCTGGTACTTTGAAATTTTAATTCTTCCCCAAAGTTAAAATGACCTTGAAAAGGTAATATTCTGAATTGATTCAGGATATCTTAAGGGAGTTACAAGAGCAAAACTAAAGGCATTCATGAAAGATGACTGCCAGAACTGCTCCAGAAAGTCACAAGAATGATGGTTTAAGTGTGTTCAAATTAAAGGGGAGTATTTTGAGGTGGATTAATGATAATGTGTCTTTCACTGTATTTTTTAAAAATATAAATATTCACTGTACTTTTAGATCACATGTAGTGTACTTACCTTAATTATTTTGAAATAAGAGGTGTTTAAGCAAGTGTACAACTGATTTATACATGGTTTTCATGGAGTTTAAAATAGGGTATCTTGGTGTTTGAGTAAACAGCAAAAGCAAGCAGTTCTTTTAGGCCTCCTCTACCCTTCTTCCCTCAAATAGGCCATAAAAGAATTCCTTGACTTTGTTCTAAAGTAGATCATAAAATTTTTATTCCAGAGGTAACCTCCTTATTCATGCAGGAAATAACCATCCTTATACTCAAATAAATTGAAATCATCACAAAGAATCGGAACAAACAGGTCTTCTTGAATTCCTCTGTTTAATAGAGTTAGTTAATACCTTTTATCACTAATCATATTTCTCCAGACTATCCATTTTTTCATCAAACTATTAGAAAAAGTTATAAGTTTACCTGTTCTTTGGGTCTTTACTTTGGAAGGCTTCCATGTTACATAGAACTTATTAATTAAATAAATGTGTCTATCTTTCTGTTATTAATTTGTCTCGTTATAGGGACTTCAATCATGAACCTTGTGATAGGTAAGCAGATATATCTCTTCTCCCCTACAGTTTCATTGTACATTTATACCAATTTTGTATCTATAATTTTCTTGTGTTTTCAGGTTTGCTGCCATACTACTCTGTTAACTCCTTAAAGGCAAATAATGACTTTTCTTTACATCCCCACCATTTATCATGGTACCTGATAATAAAATAGTTACATGTTTAGCCAACAATGACTAAATACATAAAATTCCTAGGGTCAGATTATCATCAGTTGTCATCATGCCATAATGGGACTTCCTTCAATTGTCAATTTGAGCCAAGGAAGACAAAATCCAAAAAGGCACCTGGGGGCAAGTGTTTGTGCTTGGAGGAGTCCCCATAAGGACAGGAAATGCATACCTTATCAAAGTGCTCAATTAGGATTTCTACCACGATGTTCTGGAATTTGATGTTCATCATGGCAGCCACAGTATCTTCTTGAGCACGCATCAGGGTGGGCCCAAAAATCACTCCCATGTTGGAAGGGGTCATAAGATTCTCTTTGCTATGTTCACAAACACTGCCAGAAAAGAAAGAAATTGATTAACAAGATTTGTTCAACCACTTGTAACTGAAACTAATAGGTATATATGTAAAAGAAGCAAAAATGTTAAAGGAAGAGCACAAAGTACATATGGGAAGAAAAGATTAAAATGGTAATACCTAGCCAGCAACACAACCTAGTATGTAACTAGGAGTGATGTCAGTTAATCTTGATTATCAATTTGATTAGACTGAGACCCATAAAGAAGTGAATGGATCATGGGGGACCTAAAATCATCAATGGATTAATCAAAATGATGTCCACAGACAAACATGCTATGAGGAGGAGGAAATAGAGCTAGGTTAGAGATGGGTCTGTGAGGGTGTGCCTTTGGAGGGTGTGTCTCTTGCTGACCCTCTACCCCTGTGCCCTACTTCCCAGCTGCAATGAAGTGAGCAGCTTTGCTCACCATTTAGTTCTTTTTTTAAAAATTTTATTTAAAAGAAAAAAGAGAAAAAAACAAAACAAAGTGGTGTAAGGGTACAAGTAATACAGAACTACAAAAAAAAACCAGTAAGAAATCACCAGTTAATAGATTACATATTATCATCTTAGAGATAGTTGCTCAAGTCACAGTATCAAAGCATACAATGTGGACATTCAAACAGTAAGACTGCAATGATGCAACTGCCTTAGTAACAGCTGACCATGGACTGAAACCATGAGCCAAAATTAAATCTCTCCCCCTTTAAATCACAGGTGTCAGGAAGTTTGTTTAATGATAGGAAAGCTAATACAGAAAAAATAGTACCACAGAAATGGGGTAGCTTTTGGGAATATAACTGACCATGTACTTCAGAAACCTTACAATCTAGTTTATGGGAACGTTTAGGGATGTGGGATAGAGAAGATCTAGAATGCCATATGCAGAGCTTAACAGGAGATTCTGGTCAGAACTCAGAATACCAGAACAATTAAAGAAATGCATACAGTAAAGACCAGGCTGAGAAAGTTTCAGTTGGGAACTAGAACTCTATTTAGAATTGGACTACAGGTCATACATGTTTCTTTCTGGCAAAGAATTTTTCTACATTTTATGTCCTAAAACTATAGCTGAGGCTGACTTAAAGACAACCGCCTAACTGATTTTGTAAAGGAAACTCCAAGCCAGCCCAGCATTCATGTCGTAGCATGAGGATGACTGGCTATGAGTGAGATTTATAGTGGGAGTTAGAAACAAAAAGCAACAGAAAAATATTTGAAAAACTTAAATTTGGCCCAAAAAGAATATGTGTAAAGTTGTGGCAAAAGGAGTGGTTTCAAGAAATTAATGACATTAAAAAGGAAACAAATACTTTATTTTTTTTCAGTGAAACAGTAAGTATATGTCTGGATCTCAAGCATATACCATACTTATGATAGTCACAGGTTTTGTTTTTAACCTTTCTTTTGTTAATGCATATTTGCAATATATGATAATTATATTTTTGTGGGGAGTTTGTTTATGTATATAACACAGTTTAATTCCCTTTTCCTGTCTTCTTCCTTTCTCATCCTACACTATTTGCACCTACTCTTCCACTTTCCATTTGTAAAAGTTCTTCTTCTACTTTTTTCTTCAATTCTCTTTTTCAATCACTTTTATCTTTCTTCCCTAGTCGTTTTCTCCATCTTTTGCTCTCCTTCCAATTTGAAAAAGATCTCCTGCTTTTTGCAATGTTTTCCGCAAGAATGAAGACCATTCTCAGCAATCAGACTGTCGACATTCCAGAAAATGTCACTATCACTCTGAAGGGATGCACAGTTATTGTGAAGGGCCCCAGAGGAACCCTGCAGCAGGACTTCAACCACATCAATGTAGAACTCAGTCTTCTTGGAAAGAAAAAGAAGAGGCTCCTGGTTGACAAATGGTCAGAAAAAGATCTCCCTACTTCTTATTATGTATCTTCTATTTTACTATTTATTTGTACTTTGAGTTTCTTATATAAGAGAAGCCATATGATATTAAGATTTTGTGTCTGATTTATTTCACTTAGTATTATGGTCTTACAGTCCATTCATTTACTTACAAATGGCTTCTTTAAAGCAGACTGGTATTTTGTCATATATAAATATCACAATTTCTTTACAACTCATCTGTTGATGGGAATATAAGCTGTTTCCAAGACTTCACCTTGTGCTTGTCTGGCCTTGCCTGGTCTTGAATTCAATTCCCAATACAAAAAAAAAAGATTTAACTATTATATATTTTGCTGCTATAAACATGGGTATGCAAGTATCACTATAATAGCACACATAATACATGTAATAGCATTCTCTTTATGGAAGGTATTTCAGAGGGGAATACCTGGATCAAATGGAATTCCTAGCTTTAGTTTTTTTTTTTAGTAATCTCCATAGTAATTTCCATATGGCTGTACTACTTCACACTCCCAACAATGAATGGGTCCCTTTTCTCTCATACACAATCTGAAGGGTGACAACTCTTCAAGGGATTATTGTTGGCTTTTTTAGCCTCCATCTAATTCAGCTGCATTGGAAAATACTTCTTCCTGCCCCGAAAAAGCTATTAAACAAAAAAAGCTGCCTTTTGACTGCCAGATATCTTAGCCACAGCACAAGCTTGATAGTGCCCACCAGTGACTAGAGAGGAGTAGCTTCTATTATGCCAATCTCTGTGATCCAGATAATTTTTGCTATTGTAACAACAAATGGGTAGAGATTCCTTATGTGCGGGCCGTTTTTGCTTTCAGAGTATGTCCCTCCATCACTGAAGCATGTAGGGCAGCCCAAGCTCTTTTAGCCCACTCCCCACCACCAATTCCCTCACCTAACAATCCCACTGCCCCTATAGATGATGTCCCTTCCACCTTCACCCCTCTTCCATATCTCCAAGAAACATCCTGTTCTTTGTTGCCATCTTTCCTCCCTTCTCCATCACCCCTTCTCCCGCTCCTCCTCCAGCTGGCCATCGCTATATTCCCCTCCTGCCTGATGTTGATCCTCTCAACCTTTGCCACATTCTGACCCCTCTCAGACTCCACCATCCCCTGGCCCCTCCTGCTTGCCACCTCTTTCCAGTCCATGAGGTGCCAGGTCTTGTCATGTCCCTTTTTCTCTTTCGGACCTATTCCAAATTTCTCATAGACTAAGCTCCTTCTCCACAGATTCCTACAACTATATGAAAGAGCTCCATTTTGTGATTAATTCCTATGACTTCCTAATAGTTATCTTTGCTTTAATAATTGTCTTTGCTTTCACAGGTATTAAAGGTTTTATTCCTTTTGATTTTACTGTAATAGATATCCGCTAATTGACCTACAAAAAGGTTCTAACTAGTCTATACTTAAAAATGTAAAAAGTATAAGAGTTATTATAATTCAAATGGTCAAATATATTTGAGTGCACTCTAATTTTATAATGTGTTTGTCTGTTAAGCTGTGCACATTTCTGTATTCAACATGTACAGATCATCTATATATGTTTCATTTGTCTTACAAACAGCTATTTTTTACTTGAATTCAATATTTTTTCCTTTTCCATTGTTGGATCATTTGTTCAAAATTTAATATGGGTTATAGATCTAAATGCATGTTTCCACCTGAGTTGCCAGCTGGTCAAAATGATGCTATAATTGGTTGTATAAATTTAATGTATACTGTTGTTTCTGTATCATGGCTTAAAAGTTTCTCATTCAAAAATACTATGTTAATACTAGGTTTTTCATAAGTCATTAAATTATTAAGATAATTAAACAAAATCCCTTGGGATAGGGAAATTGTTGGATAGTACTTCAATTCATGAATAAGAAAGTGGCCACCTGGTAACATTTAACCTTTTCTTGCTCACTGATTTGAGGCCCCAATGATCTCTATAGCCTTATGAGAGACACCCCAACTAAAGTTATAAAAATGTATTATTGTAATATGTTCACATTGGTCATCATCAAAAGAAAAAAATAAAGTTTTTGATTTAAAGTTGCTCTGATACAAAGGTTTCATATGGCTATGACAGATTTTATTAACCTGATGCTACATTTAATGTATTCATTCCTTCAAATGTGCAAGTCTTCTAAAATGTAAAATTGGAATTGTTTATTGTGACAGACATCTTTCAGATCCACACATCTGCCTTTCTCTTGTGCTCCAGCTACTTGTGATAGAAGGTTCAAGTCAAACCAACATGTGGTCACCAGTCAAATAGTAACTTTTAAACAAAAATTTATGTAATGTATACGTTATAGATGTGCCACTATACTTAGAGATGCTTAGATATTAAACAGTCCAAACAATATCATGAATTTCTACAATGACATCCTATTAAAGGACAACAAATTGGGTGAAAAATTCTTTTTAGAGATGATTACAAAAATATCATCATGACTGTTACACTAAAATATTATGTATGCTTTTTGATCTCAATTTTTCTCTGTAAAACTATATAACTATTGTCTGCTGACACTACAGGGATTCAACTAGACATGAGTGGTTAATAAGAAATAACAAATCTCTGGCTATACTTTATATTCTAAAATGCTTAATATCCAGATAATAATGTTAACTTACTGACTTATTACACTATAATGTTATCAATTCTCTCTTTTGAGTGTTCAACAACTGAGGTTATCATGCCTAGGTAGGCTAGGAGGGCAACCAATAGTTTGGATCCTTCCCTCTGAGGTCAGGTGAAGACGCTGAATATAAGAAAACCTCTGCAGTGATATTCCATGACTCTATGAGTCCCTGGTCTTCTGATCAAGGTGACTGTGAGACCACAGAGGAAAGTGATCTACCATATGTTGTACACCTAAGGAGAGTCACCAGGAGAAAAAAAAATCTCCCAAACTTTCACAAAACACAACTTGGTCAAGCAATGGCTTTGCTTGGTCAAGTAAAGGATGAGCTAGCACTGTCAAAACTGAGGGACTCTATACAGGGTTCCAAGACAAATCCTGAGGAGACTTAACTGATCTTGATAGACAGCAAGAGGTTAATTTTAATTAGTACAGGACTCAATTTAACTTGGTCTTAAACATC